TCGTGATGATATTCTTTGACATGTCTCTAAGTCCCCTCTTGAAGTCAAAATTTCAAAAGGTTATCTGCCAGAATCAGAGGAAGTTGGCTTTTTTCCGGTACCGGTCCGAGGCCCGGGGGTTGGGAACCGCTGTGCTACAGAACTACATTACATGCAGTTGAGATAATCTCGTGATGATATTCTTTGACCTGTCTCTAATCCACAAAGTCCCCTCTCTCTTAACACCAAATCAGTTTCTGGTTTTTCTATAAATGGAGGTAAGCAGATGTATGCCGGTCTCCTCTTGGGTGGATGTTACTTATTTACAGTCCATCCCTTTCATAACAGCGATGGACGGGAATCACGACAGACAGTCCAGAAGAACCTTCCACAGCTGATTTGGCAAAATAAGAGAGGAAGCAAAGCGGGACATCCATCCTGGTACGAGGATGTCAAATTAAAACAATTAACTAAAATTATTGTTCTGCCACATTTTTGCCATCTGTTTGGCCAATTCCTTGTTACAGTGATTGAGAGTGGAAAATTACAAAGAAGTCAGAATTTCAAAAGGTTATCTGCCAGAATCAGAGGAAGTTGGCTTTTTCCCTTGGGATTGTCCATCCTCACATGGTGGGAAAACGGTCCACACTGCACACCTGCCCAGCGTGGCTGCGTATGAACATCTATCCCATAAGAATAAAACAACATTGCTTGCTGATCTCTATCACCCTACTCAAGTTAAATCATATTGTAGTAACAGGTTTGTTATTATTAATTACACTGAGAATCTGATGGATAGACAAAACAATACATTAAGGCTGCCAATATGTACTTTATGATGCTCTAATTTGTGGAAATCATTCTTTGAAACTAATTGGAAAACTGATCTAAACTCACAGTCTGTAAAAAGAAAGGCATGTGTAACATTTGGGATCTTTAGATAGAAAATACATTTGTGTCGTTCACACAATTAGAGAATATTTACAAAATCCCTGCATCAAGATTTTTTCTGATACTTAAAAATGTGAGATTATATATTTTAAAAAAACAAACGTGCCCAACTCGACACCACGGATGAATAAATTCAATACTGACGCTGATAAGTCTCCTTATTCCTGTCACAGTCACGTGCAGTGGATGCCACATTACTCCACAGAAAGGTTTCATAACCCCAACATCTCACCCGTCTGTCAGAGATGCAAATCTGTCACTGGCAACTTGATTCACTCTTTCTGGTCATGTACAAAACTCAGCATGTTTCAGGGTTTTTCTGAAGCACATGGGGAGACCTGGTGTGACAGGCTCTTCAACATCAGTAAACAGGTGTGAACAGAGAAGTCAGAGAAGCTCATTTCTGACTGATGACAGCAATACAGAGGCAAGTTGTTGAAAATATCCTGAACTCTTAGTAAGGGCTACTATTAGCCTCTGTTAGCTAGTATTAGCCTC